GCTGATCAATCCAGATCATCAGTGTGCTGGATGAGGTAGCGGTGTTGTTTTAGCCGGCCTCACCTGAGGACCAGAGATGGTTTTCATAAAGTATCTCCAACTGAAACAGCAGATCCAGAAGCAGAGTTTCCACACAATCACATGACCTCCACACTGCATGACCATAGATACAGCACCATGGAACATCTAGAGAACCTCGGTCAGAACCGTCTGACCACTGACTCTTAGAACATTTCAGAACCACATGTTGGTCTACACTGTAAATGAATGTCACCCCCAGTTACCGAGATTAAATAAAGGATGATTGATCATCATTGATCTGACGTGTGGGAGTGACTGCAGTAAAATGTAGGACCACCTTAAAGTCCCAGCAGATACAACCAGGAGATATTTCAACAACACTGTGAGGAGAACACACACTGACCCTGACCTAACACGCAAGAGAACACGCTGAAACCAACTGCACAGCCACCAAAACTCAAACATACTCTAATCTGACCTTCGCTAACACTGACTTTTCTTCAGAGCAGTAAAAAGAACAGAAGGAAGAAGTTTTATCACTTTTTAAAAGAACAGTTAAAGCAGAAGTAGTTAAAATGACTGATAACTGTCATTATAAACAATAATATACAATAAAGAAAAGTCGTCCACTAAACGTGTCTGATCATTTTGATTTAACTGTAAATACAGAAGTTCTAATTTATTTATGAATATATACACAATGACATAAACTACCATGCATGTGTGACGTTCATCGCTGTTGGAGCAAAAGCTTGTATTTTTACAGGAGAAAGAAAAATCCTTCAGAAATTTTAATGTAAGTCAAAATAACAAGATTTTGTGGGTAATTTCTGTCCATTCATCATCATATTTTCACACAATGTAAAGAACAACTGGCCACAAAGTTTTCGCATAGCAGCACAAACATGCATATAATCATAAACGTTAGTTCTGGCCATTGTTTACACTAAACTGAGGGTGATGATGTACCATGTGATCTTCCTCGCTCTCTTCCCATTGGCTGAGTGAATACTGTAACGCTGTCTGTCATTGGTAGAGAACCAGCTGACGTGCCTCCTTCATGTTACAGTTTAGTTCAGGAGTGACTCCTCCATCACTGCCCTGCCGTCCTCTTCAAAAGCCGAATTCACGAAAGTGTCTTAAGAAAGAAAATCTTCTAAAATGTGTTTTTTTAACTTCATTCTAATAAAAAAGTTCAGAAAAATTGTTATTCTTCAAAAAATGTAAGAATTCTCTTATTTTTTTCCTTAACTATTTTCTTAAGAATAATTCTAAGAACAAGTGAACTGCTTTCAAGCAATTGTTATTTACATTAATACAAATTCAAAATGTGTGTCTGGTCGTTTATGTTAAGATGTAAAATACATCAGAGCCGACATAAGAAAGCAAAACATAAGAAAATCTCAAAGAAATAATTAATATTTTAACAGAATGTTTGAAAACTGTTTTTTTCAAGAATTGCATTTAGGAACATTCTAATGAACTTCTTTGTCTTAAGAACCTTCACAAGCTTTTTCTTAAGAAAGTTTTCGTGAATCCGACCCAGATCACTGTAAGAGCTCAAACTGGACCATCTGGGACCGACTGAACTTCAGAATCTGCTTTTTGACAGAATGATGCACCAGGAAGGTCATCAGCTGCTCACAGCTGTCGTTAGTGACCTCCAAGAAGCTCTGACCATCCAGCCTCAGCTGTACAGCTAAGCGTCAGGTGAGCATGTGTGTGTATGTGAGGGTAAAAAGTCAAAGGCATTGCCCTCTGGTGGTCTGGAGGAATAAAACAAAACCTTTTCACAGTTTTATGTCAGAAAAACAGCTTAGAAAACAGAAACTCTGATAACAGAGTAACGTTACAGAGGAAGACTGAATTTCAGAAACAGTCTTCGCCAAAAATGTCACACATTACGTAACTCTGTGACAGGCAACATCCGGGCGTGATTTATTTTTAGCTAAAGGCTAAAAAATACACAGCGAGCAAACAAAAACAGCAGTGGCCTTGTACACATGGAGCTTCTCCCAGTGGGAACCGTGTGTCAGTCTGCCCCGAGCAGGAAAACAGAGCAGAGTTCATTCCTCCCAGGGAACATAAGGATGTGGTCAAAGCCACCCGTCCAGAGAACCGCTGGAGAACCGCCTCCATTTCCTCGGCGCTAAACAAAACCACACCATCTTGCACAGGAACAAGAAGATTACTGATAAAAACATGACGTTCATGAACACTTTATCTTCTAAACACGTTTACTCGTCGTTCGATCACGTAGAAGTCGAGCAGTAAATGACACGCAACATCCACAGAACTAAAGCTCGGACTCTGTTTAGGCCTTAGCGTTAGCATTAGCATTCTCAGCACTGCCCGACTGTACCATCATCTATCACTGAACATTCACCACAGACCTGAAGAGCTGCATCGGGAAAATGTACACTTAAAAAAATGGTTCTTCAAGGGTTCTTAGTAAAGAAAATGGTTTCTTTAAAGAACCATGAACACTCAAAGAACACTTTGCATGATTAAAGGGTTCTTTGCATCTTGAAAGTGTTCTTCAGATTGATGGAGAATGTGCTGTAGCTGGTTTCATATAGAACTTTTTTTGAAAAGGGTTCTATGTAGCACCAAAAAGGGTTCTTCTATTGTTACGAGCTTGACATTGTAACAATATAAGAGGTGCTATGTAGAGCCACGTCAGGCATTTCCATGAAACCGGTCAAGCAAACACTTCTACTGAACTGAATTAAAGGTGAAATATTACTGCTAGTGTTAACAGTTATTCAGTATCTCAGTTCAGTCACTCTGTAAACAGTTCAGCTCAGTCTTTAAAGCTACGTCCATATTACAAGCCTCATTTCTCAAATCAGATTTTTTGCTCAGATCCGATCTCTCTGACAGGATGGTTCACACTCGTTTAGGTAAGTGATTCAAATCTGTCATTTCTGTGAACAAACCGGCGTCCTGAAATGACCCTCATAAGCTCATCCTACTCAGTAACGGCATCATCAGCACAAACTAACGAGCAGAACGAGCTTCGCTGAGAAGATCATTAACTCTGATCAGCTCTCAGCTTCATTATTAGAGCGAGACGAAGGAGAAAAAGGTGAGATGAGCTGCTTTTCCACCGTTTACAGGCTTTAACTTCTGTTCGGTGCTGCTGCCATGGTAACGCTAAATGATGGCGCAGCGCAGTGGAAAAAAACCACATGAATTCCGATCTGAGCGTCACATTAAGGTCACATGGCCACGAATTGGATACGTATCCGATCTAGGACCACATATGAAAGTGTCTTAGGTCAGATTTGAAAAGATCAGATTTGTTAGCTAAATTAGCCTCGTAGCTCCAGTGTTAAAGCTAAACACCAAACTGGTCTTGGCTGATCAAATACATTTGGAGTAAAGTGTGTGGGGTGGGGGGGCACTGGGGGGTGGAATGGAGGGAATTTGATTGCTTGCTGAACTTTCACCTTGATCAGGATTAAGACCCGGTGTGTTTGACTTTATATGAAGTGAAGTTCGTTACTCTGCCGCGCTCACTCAGTGGTCCGGATTACGGAGAAACGTAAACAGTCGTGACGGTTCAGAGAGCCGAGAAGAACGTAAAGAACGGCCTGCAGAGCAGCGAGTGACCGACGCCGGCCTGCCACAGTGGAAATATACGCACAGGCACTCCGTCCATCTTCCACTGTTATACAGTCTGTGACAGAAAGTCAGTTAGAACGAGAACTTTTCAACAAAGAGCTGAAGCTCAGAGTGCTGAGCGCTACAGAGGGCAAACCATCACCCCCCCAATATTTACACTTTTATACTCTTACACTGAGCTCCTCCCTCTACACACCTCGCACTGCTCATCTGATACCAACATCAACCACTCAATCACGGTCACGTCTCAGCAGGAGGCCTCGGCTCTGCATGTGATTTTTAGGTTTACTGAAGGAAAAATTGGTGCTGGGTGGCATGAGTGAAAATGTATGTATATAATTAAGATTACTGGCTGTTTCAGTATACATCACAGTATAGTGTATATATGTACATGTATTTATACTTCATCCTAATGAGATAAAGGCGAGTGTGTTTAAAGCTCACAGTGGCTTCTCTAAACACTGCTGAATGTAGTTTTATCTCTAAAAGTCGTTTGTCTCATATGTGCACTTAATTCAGGACTTAATATCACTGCTTCCTCCTGATGAGCTGATTTAGGCTCTCAAAATGTCCTTATCATTCTTTTAATTTTTATGCCTGTAATATTTTCTGATAAGGATATTTAGACTATCAAAATATCCTACCTGCAGTTTTCTTCGAATTTTTCAGTTCTACCTTAAATGGTCCAGCAATTGCACTCTAGAGTCTGAGGCATTATAATAACTGCCGCACCATTTAAGGTGGAACCAGAATATTCGAACAAGAACCTGACAAATAAGAAGCTCTTATGCTTCATAGTTTTGATGCTTGTAGTATTTTTTGATTACGGTTATTTAAGCTCTCAGAACATCCTACCTGCAGGTTTATGTATGTAGCAACCTATAAATCTGGGCTACTGTAGGACATTTAGTTAGAACATCAGCTAGTCTCCATGCTAGGCTAATGGCTAACCCTAAGAGACTGGCTTTTCCTTCTGCTCTCTTTTCCCCATTAACTCATTAACCCGTTACAGTCTGAGGTCGCTCCTGGACAGTAAGCTGGACTAACTGACCTCAGGCTGCAGCTCAGTACACGAGAGGTGAGGGAGTCAGTTTGTATGTCACGTTATTTGCATTTATTTGCACACTGATATAACAATTTCAGCCTGTATACCAGATGGACTGGGATATCACCCAATACTAATTAAAACATTTAATTAATTTAATAATGATTACATTAGTAATAACTGCTAGATTAGCAAACTAATCTCTTCTGTTCTGTCACTGCTTCAGTGATTAGATGTTTTAGATGTTCTAACAAATGAGACAGTAAACTTGTCTGATGGTCAGCAGCAGCTTAAACAGTGGACTTACTATAGAATCCTGCTGGACATATCCAATCTCCTCGATTCCTTTGATGTTGATGATGTCCACCTCCTTGTCTGTGCTGGGAACCGCGCTGTATCGCTCATTTGTCATCATGGCAGCCTGAAGACTCCACCGAGACGACGCTGCACCCGCACGCCAACTAAAAGCGAGAAAAAGAGAATTTTAAAGAAGACAAACGAAAAAAATCTACACGAAGATTCCGACTCTTCTACACACAGTTTACTCAACAATCAAACCAAAACACATCACAGCTCTGTGTAGATCCACATCTTAACTACACAGTTATTATTCACACACAGGAGGAACGAAAGAAATTCATTTAAAATATCTCAGATCAGATTGTGTGAAATAACAACAGTAACAACTGTAACAAAAATAATAAATAAAAGCAGTTTTTTTCCTGCACAGAACACAGTTACATAACAGCTATTTAAAATAATGTTTTTCTGCTAATGTTAATGCACAGTTAATTTGCATTTGGTTAACTTACAAAACAGGAAATCACAGCCTGCAAATTGTTTTGTCTCCAATTAGGAGTTTTTCTGTTCCTGTTTTAGGAATTTTGTCCCATGGCTCCTCACAGAACGCTTCCAGGTCTGAGATATTCTTAGGCTGTTTTGCATGAACAGCGTGTTTTAGATCTAAGATGTTTAAGGTGATGTTCACTCAGGGGTCTGTGAGGGCCACTCCAAAAGCTTGAAGTAGTTGATGGTGTGTTTTGAGGTGTTGTGAGGTTGTGTTTAAGGTGTGTTTTGGGTCACTGTCCTGTTGTGAAAGCCTCTTTCAACATGTGCTTTCAGAATTTGATGATATTTAGTAGAATCCATTCTTTCATCATCCTGTGCAGCGTTTCTGAGTTACTGGCTGCCACACGACACCAGAGCATAACAGTTCCTTCTCCAGGCTTAACAGTCAGCACAGTGTTTCTTTCATCAGAATCAGAATCAGAATCAAGCTTTATTGGCCAGGTTTGTTTACACCAACAAGGAATTTGGTTTTGGTTACAGGAGCTCACATCAAATGCTGCTCCTTTTTTCTCCTTTCATTTCTACTTCATCAGTCCACAGTAGTATGGTGCTCCATCACTGCTGTGTCAGCTCAATCTTGCTGCAGGTGATTCGCTGTCGTATGGGGGTTTTGCTTTGCCTTTCTGTCTGGCGTATGAGCAGCTCCATCTGAAAGATCTCGCCTCGACTCCCACAGCTCCCCTTAACTAAATGACATTTCATTCAGCTTTGATATTTGATTATAGTTTTCCCCTGCAGGCCTCAGTTAGCTTCAGTTTCAGGTCCTCAGCAGCTGCTCAGAGGCACTCACAGTTGTTAAGTATCAACACAAAGTCTCAACAGTCAGAGAATTAATTACAGTCTGGAGTTCTCATCAGGTGACAATCAAACTCTGAGACTTTAAAACTGAAAAGTGTCCGAAGTTTTACATTCACAAGATCATCCAATATAAAATAACTGAGCAGAAAGAGAGAGAGAGAGAGAGAGAGAGAGAGAGGGAGAGAGAGAGACAGACAGAAAGAGGTACAGAGAGAGAGTGACAAAGAGAGAGAGAGAGAAAGAAAGAGAGATAGTCTGTTTTGGGCTGAAATACAGGACGTCACTGCTTTAGGGAGTAAATCAGTAAATAATGTTCGGGGCTGCTGATCAGATCTTTCAGATCTTCTGATAAAGAAATCCTTTATTTTCTTAAAGATCGAACAAACAGAGGCAGATAAACAGAAGCGGATCTAAATTTAGAGATCAGATCGAGGGCGCTCTCTGAGGACAGACTGTTTACACGTTTATTTAAGGCACTTTAGTGCAGCTGCTGAGATTCAGAAGGAGAAGCTCTAATTTCAGCTGTTTTATTGGTGTTCGATAAAGATCAGTATTCAGGGTTCGGAGTCGCTGAGGTTCTGAATTGCTAAGCTTCAGCACAGAGTCGCGCATGAACACCATGATCATCATGTTTTCTGAAATCTTTTGTCGAATTTCTGAATGTGTGTTTTTGGGAGTGAAGTCCTCAAATAATAATCACAAAATCAAACTTTTCTCTTCCTAACATTGTAATTATGAATCAGTATCTCTGCTGAAGCTCCTGATTACAGTCGAGTGCAGATTCAGCTGATCTCATTAAAGCAGATCAAACTTTTAAGTTCTAGAAACTTCTGCAGGTTGCAGTTATAAACATACACAAAACAGTAACCTATAAAACGACAGAATTATCATAAATATTTATTAAGTAACAGTTCAGTTAAACTTTCATGTATAACTCAGAAAATAAACTCCATCAAATTAAATTCATATCATCAAACTCTCTCTCTCTCTCTCTCTCTCTCTCTCTCTCTCTCTCTCTCTCTTTCTCTCTCACTCTCTGCTAGCCACTTGGCTCATGTCCAGTTGTATATCTCTGTTAAATAAGTGGGGGGATTGGTCGGGGGGTGGGTTGGGTTTGGGGGTGCTGTGTGGGAATCAGAGTTTAAAAATAAAAATGTCTAAAGATTTTTTAGAAGAAAAACAGAAAATTAAAGATAAAGAGAAAAACAAAAACAGATATTCTGTAAGTGTGACATCTGACTCTGTATACACTGTTCAGTTAGAATTTAGCTCGTAAACTAACTGGAACTTCTAATGTCTGAATGCGTCTTAATATGAATATAAATATAATTTCAGCACAGAAACAAAAAGTTTCTCCCAAAGACACATTCAGCACCAGCTCATCTACAGCCTCACGTACGATCTAAACTACAGCCTCACGTACGATCTAAACTACAGCCTCACGTACGATCTAAACTACACCCTCACCTACAATCTCAACTACAGCCTCGCCTACAATCTGATCTACACCCTCACCTACAATCTCAACTACAGCCTCACCTACAATCTCATCTACAGCTTCACCTACAATCTAAACTACACCCTCACCTACAATCTCAACTACAGCCTCGCCTACAATCTCATCTACAGCTTCACCTACAATCTAAACTACACCCTCACCTACAATCTCAACTACAGCCTCGCCTACAATCTGAACTAAAGCCTCACCTACAATCTCAACTACAGCCTCGCCTACAATCTGAACTAAAGCCTCACCTACAATCTCAACTACAGCCTCACCTACAATCTGAACTACAGCCTCACCTACAATCTCATCTACAGCTTCACCTACAATCTAAACTACACCCTCACCTACAATCTCAACCTCAGCCTCGCCTACAATCTGAACTAAAGCCTCACCTACAATCTCAACTACAGCCTCACCTACAATCTCAACTACAGTCTCACCTACAATCTGAACTACAGCCTCGCCTACAATCTGAACTATGACCTCACCTACAATCTCAACTACAGCCTCACCTACAATCTGAACTCCAACCTCACCTACAATCTCAACTACAGCCTCGCCTACAATCTAAACTACACCCTCACCTACAATTTCAACTACAGCCTCGCCTACAATCTGAACTATGACCTCACCTACAATCTCAACTACAGCCTCACCTACAATCTGAACTCCAACCTCACCTACAATCTCATCTACAGCTTCACCTACAATCTAAACTACACCCTCACCTACAATTTCAACTACAGCCTCGCCTACAATCTGAACTAAAGCCTCACCGACAATCTGAACTACAGCCTCACCTACAATATGAACTACAGTCTCACCTACAATCTCAACTACAGCTTCACCTACAATCTCATCTACAACCTCACTTACAATCTGAACTACAGCCTCACCTACAATCTTATCTACAGACTCACCTACAATCTCAACTACAGCCTCACCTACAATCTGAACTACAGCCTCACCTACAATCTCAACTACAGTCTCATCTACAGCCTTACCTACAATCTCAACTACAGCCCCGCCTACAGTCTCAACTACAGCTTTGCCTACAAACTCATCTACAGCCCTGCCTATAGTCTCAACTACAGCCTCACCTACAATCTGAACTACAGCCTCACTTACAGCCTCACCTACAAGCTCAACTACAGCCTCACTCACAATTTCAACTACAGCCTCACCTACAAGCTGAACTACAGCCTCGCCTACAATCTCTACTCTAGCCTCATCTACAGCCTCATCTACAGCCTCACACCTCACAAAGATGTCATTTTGTTTCTTAACATTGTTTTCATTTGAAGTACACTGCCCACTTTATAAGCCAGGCCCATGAGGTCACCTCTAAAAACAGGTTCCAGCAAAACAGTTGCATGAATAAAAATAAAAGTTTGCATAAAATGCCTTTATTTTTTTATGTAAATCGGTGACGTGAGTGGACAGGCTATAGTTAAGTGGAGTGATATAATTGTCAGTTATGTATAATTTTAAGTTTAATTATAAGGTTATATATACAATTATAATGTATATATAAAGTGAGAGAGAACGGTTCTATCTGGAACCTCAGTGAGAGCTCATTAAAACGTTTGGGGAAACATTAGCTAAAGCGTCCTGAGCGTGTGTGCTGAAGCTGTCCGACTGCCTCAGTGTGGGGCTATTTTTATTCTGACCTTCCAGAACTGAACTAACAGTGGGGCTCAGAGTAAAACACCCCCCCCCAAACACACACACACACACACACACACAGACCAGGCAGCAGTACTTCTCACACTTCACTTCACTTCCCTCCTCTCTTCATCAGGCACTTTCACTCCACCATCCCAACACTCACTCCACCATCCCAACACTCACTCCACCATCCCAACATTCACTCCCACCATCCCAACACTCACTCCACCATCACAACATTCACTCTCACCATCGCAACATTCACTCCATCATCCCAAAACTCACGCCACCATCTCAACACTCATTCCCACCATCCAAACACTCACTCCTGCCATCCTAACACTCACTCCTGCCATCCAAACACTCACTCTCACCATCCCAACACTCACTCCCACCATCCAAACACTCACTCCCACCATCCAAACACTCACTCCTGCCATCCAAACATTCACTCTCGCCATCCCAACACTCACTCTCACCATCCCAACACTCACTCTTGCTGTCCCAACACCCACTCTGACCATTCAACACTCTCACACCATCCAAACATTCACTCCACCATCCCAACACTCACTCCCACCATCCTAACACTCACTCCACCATGCCAACATTAACTCCACCATCCCAACACACACTTAC